AGTGCGAACAAAAACTGAAAAATTAACGATAAATGATTAAGAATTTGTGAAATGTTCATAATGTGATTTTTCTAAATATATTAACTTTAATTTAAACAAAAATTTAACAATATACATTAATTTGGTACCAACCAGAACCCACAAAAGGGTGTTCAAATTTGATTGTCTAAAAACAAACTATCGATCATGTCATGTTTTGATCATGTATCGATGTCTTGACTTCCTTGTCATTTTTACAGCTATTAATTTCACTTCCTGAAACTCGTAGCTGGTAATTTTTGTTCGACCCAAACGTGGTCGCCATTTTGAGGAAGGGTCAGTATGTTGCCTTTTGGTTAAATCTTGAATCATTGACGTTGTTATTTTTAATTTTTATAACATTAAAATATAAATCAAGGAAGGATACCAAACGTTTGTTATTTACCACAGTCAAAATGCTACCCTTTTTATTAGTTAAATAAAGTGGGATTACTTAATTTCAGGTTTCACTGATGATGGTCTGATAAGAGAAAATATTTTTGAAAAATTGTATTTCTTTTGGATATTTTCATAGTTTTATTAATTTTACAAATATACCAATTACATTGGAAGTTTTCAATTCATTTAAGTTGTTTTCTACAATCTATGGTATCCAGCCAACCACTGGGAATTTTACCTTTATAAGATATGCTCTTAACTTTTCGCCATTCTTGCTAGACCACAACCATTTAATACCGCTTCCTCCTCTCTCACGCGCTCTCTTCATCCCTATCTATCTCTCTCTAGCTTACTATATTGAAAAAGTTGTATTTTATTTATTTTATTTTTTTTTTATAATAAATGTAATTTTTAAAATATGTGGTTCGTTGTTTAATTTAATATATAACTCAGCTAGCTCAATTATGTGTTCTAAGCAATCTGTCACTGTGTGACGTCGACTCTGTAGTCTCCTGGTAGAGTTCAAAAAGAAATTAAACCAAAATTTACTTTAGACTTTTGATAAATTAACCCAAATGAAGCACGTTATTTATTAATATTGAACAAATTTAATATAAACAATAAAATTCGTCTGCAACTTGGGTTGCCTGACAATAAAAATTTATTACAAAATGTGGAGACTCTCTACAAGTACCTAAAAACTAAATAAATATTGCAACTTTATAAAGTGTTTAAATGAACTATAAAGAAAAAGAAACTGAACACTTTATTCCGCTGGTTTTAAACTTGCATTCAAATATAATCAAAATTTCAAATGATCCCCAAAATTATTATCCAACCTCACTTTAAAACAGTTCTGATTTCTTTAAAGAAAACTAACTACTCGCAAAATAATCGATGAAACTGGAATATCAATCCTCTCTTCGGAAGTTAAGGTACGTACTATTCTATTTTTAATTTAATGATCATTAATATTTTCAATTTTTAAGGCCTATCGCAATTATGTTAATTCATGAATTTTAATTTTCTCAATTTAAATGACATTTCTATACTCCAATATAATTTATAAGTGAAATTGTTTCTCTTACTCTCTGGAACAAATTTCTGGATATCTCTGCTGTGGAAACTGTGGAAAAACTAAATTCTAATTAGACGAGTTAAAAAACACTCCCGACCTATTCCATAGTTTCAGGGCTCTCCTTCGTCCAAAAAAACCTCGTCGGCGTCCCAAAAAAAAACCAATTATTCTTCGTTGCTAACAGCAACCAACGTTCTTTTTTTTTGTCCTCTATTTAAATATTTTAAACCATAAAACTGTCCTGTTTGACATATTTGTCAAGCCACATTACTTTCTCATAATCACTTTAATCACATCTAATTTGGGAATTTATAAAAAAAAATGTTCAGATATAAAACTTAGTCTATTAATATAATTTATTCTTTTCATCTCCACATCATTGTAATTTCTTATTTAACAAAACCCCTATTAATTAAGCTCCCACAGACTTGCTTGACAGTTTATTTTCTGACGTTTATTAAAATTTCTATGTTTAAATATTTTTTTAAGAATTCTTCTTTTTTGTTCTTTTTAAGGTTTAGACGATTCACCTATACACTAGGCAACTATACTATTCAGAAATTATTAACACTATACCAGGTAAGTCAAAATTAATTTATTTAACAATTTACTAATCTTTTTCTCTCTTTTATTTCAGAGTCGAACCCACATTGTGATGGCTTCATGAAATTCATGAACAACAAACTCATATAAAAATCCATTTAAGTTGTATATTTTTTAACATATTGAAATCATTTCAATATATTTCTATTTATATATCTATCTCTCTCTCTGTCCATATATCTTTCTCTGTCTCTCTCTTTCTGCTCTACAGCCCGGGAAGGGTCTTAAATGATTGTACAACTTGTTTTCATCTCACACTGAGTGACTGTTGGATGAACCGAGTAGCTTAACAGTCGTCAGCATCTTGCGTGAGGAGTTGACAGCTTGCCAGCAAGAAAGGTCTCTCATCATTAAATGCTTTTTTAGTGGTCTGAAGTACAGAAAATAAGTGAGTTTTTTGCTTAAACTTGTTTTTTGGATGTTCTAAAGTGATCCTAGAGAAAAATTTGATCGCAATCAGTAAAAATACGGCATAGAGGAGGTTTTGTAGAAACGTGATTCTTAAAGGTTGGTTTCGGCGTTGCCAGGTTTTACAGTTGATAATTCTTAAAATGTTTAAGTGTTGTCAAAACAAAATTTTCTCGAACTATTGCTGTATAAAATGTGCTTATATTTTCCACCCGAGTTGTTTGGAAAGGAGATCGGATTAGAAAATTGTGGAGGTGCAAAAAATATTCTGCTCAGACCAATGCCAAAAAGAATATCAACAACCTGATGTTGTGATAGATAAACTGAAGGAGAAATTGAAACTACTGAAAACTGACTTGGATGCCAAAAACAAAGAAATAGAGAAATACAAAGTAAATTTAAAATCTCTAAAAGAAAAAACTACAGCTGAAGCTGGAAGCTGGAAGCAACTAAGCTAGTCGGTCAAAATTACGTCCAAGAAATTTCGAGTGCTGTCGTAAAATCAGTAGAACCTCTGATCAAACGGATTTCAACCGCAGTGACAGAATGTATTGAATCAAACAATGAAAAAACTGGAAACACGTTTGACAACCTTATACAAACTGTGTCTGCAAACTACGCTTCGAATATGGATAAGTTCATTGAATCTCTAGGAACTATCCAGAATAGTAAGGACCTAAATTTAAGATTGGGATCTATTGAAGACAAAATCAAAGACGTGACAACATCGCCGCCGCCTGTCTCATATGCGTCCACAGCACAAAAAGTAACAACCAACCAAGTTGCTCATGCTGGAACCAACGCTGCTAACATCTTCGTGGCAACTACACATGCGCAGAAACCGGCATTAAAGAAAACACAAAATGTCGGCAATTTCTCGCAAAATGTAAACAATGGACAAAAATATATATCAACTAAAGGTGCAAGGAGCGAAGACGCTAACTTTGTAGCCGCGAATCCTAGCAAAATGTGGCTTTGCATAGGAAAAGCTGCAGAAACAGTCACGAATGACAGTATCAAGAATTATATTCAAAGAAAATTGGTTAACCTTAAGGTTGAAGATGTGATGGTGGAGCAACTAAAAACTGTAGGCAATACTAGCTCTTTTAAAGTAGGCCTACCTATAAAACTTTATGATGAAGTCAATACTAGTGATTTCTGGCCAAAAGGAATCATTTTTAGACGTTTTAACTTTAAGAGAAGAGTTTCTCATGAGTTTCTTTCTCGGAAAACTAAAAGATAGACGACAATCAAGCAGGAATAACTTAAATGCTTTTTCATCATCTGTTATTGCCTACGATTATGATATGCTACTATTAACCGAGACCTCTCTGTATGATGGTATGTATAGAGGATGGAGAATTGAGAATTCCAGAGTACAATATATACAGAGAGGATAGAAATGAAAATACCAGTACAGCTAAACGTTTGGGTGGTGCTCTAATTGCTGTAAAAAAGGACTTTTCTTCCTTCAGTAATCACTTCAAAATCAGCCAACATTGAAAGTGTTTATGTAAAATTGCAAACACCAAATCAAAAAATCCTTTTTGTCTGTATATATATATATATATATATATATATATATATATATATATATATATATATATATATATATACCATCATCTCCATTAAACGTTTATGAGGACTTTATTATGGTAACTGAAGATACTATTCAAAATAATGACTTTTCAATGTCCTATATAGTGGGTGATTTTAATATGCCAAACAAAGTTTGGAAGAACGAAGATCTAATATCTAGACCAGTTAGTAATATTACAGAATCTGTTGAGTGTATATCAAATTTTATTACTTATTTTAACTTATTTCAAAATAATACAATATCGAATGTTTTAGATTATTTAGATCTAATATTGTCAAATAATTTAGTAAATGTCAAATGTGTTGATTTTCCTTTGTTAAACTGTGATAAGTACCATCAGCACTTTCTTTCTGTATTGATTGTGATAAAACTGAGTTTCTTGAATACGATTATTATTATTATTATTTTAATAGGGCTAATAATATTTTAATAAACCAATTTTTAGGTAATGTAAAGTGGGACAACTTACTCTTACAACAACTTACTAAGAACTGTCTTTCTGAAGAGATTTTGGTTAGGTCTGGCATCCCACAGGGTGGTCATTTATCGACTATTCTTTTTATTTGTTTTATGACATTTTAGAAATCTTTGAAAATTGTGTTATTTTGTCGTATGCTGATGATATGAAAATTTTTATAATTATTAAGGATGTTAGAGACTGTGTAAAAATGCAAAAAAACTGCAAATGTGTATCTCTTCTGTCAATCGCATATTTCTAATACGATTCCAGGGTATTTTATGAGCAAAAATAACAAAAACAAGTATTTCATTATGAACATTCCAAAAATTGTCTGTTTGAAACCTTTATATAAAGAAAATATAACGCTCAATAAACGGTTAACTGCAAAAATTGATCTTTTTTGAGTAATACTAAATACTAATCACTGAAGTAACTTATGGCGGTAAGCCGTATCTAACAGATTCGTTATGAATAGATCTAATCAAATCTTGGTTTATCGAAAAGATGAACCTTAAACAAGCTATCTCGACGACGGCATTATCGTAGAGACGAGTTTTGTTTCCGGCCGTGATCGGTCTGCCATCAACGAATATTGGTCGTTTGCCTTCCGAGGACAGATAAAATTCTCCGGTATTTCGTAGCCTAAAAGCATGTTAACATTAATAAACACGATAACAAATTGTTACACTGGACAAGTTTCACAAAATCTATCGACAACCATTCTTCCGTGGGTGTACTAGTGATAATAAACTCTAGTGATCGAAAAGTGAATATGAATGGCTTGTGTAAGGTTTTAGCGAAAAAACGGTAGCAATGAAAAATCTGGATGCGCAGTGGCGAAATTCAAAAAGTAGGGACAGTTTGGTGGTTAATTTTATGTAGTGTTATAACTTTGTGATACAAATATGGAAAATGCACCAAAACGACAAGTTCTAAATACAGAAGCAATTTATAACGTTTTAAAATCTACCAAAAATGAAGCAAAAAATGGATAACTGTTAACAGATTTAACGAAAGTGCAGGAATATGTTGCAACAATAGTAGGTATTTACGTAGGTACCAATAACAAATTATTATTTTTAACCTAATCTAGAAAAAATAGCACCATCGATGAAATCTATTTGTATTCTAGTTACACTAGAAGTGATAATCTTTGTGGAAGAAAATGTAATTGTTTGATAATTTTTATTGCAAGTTATAGGATACAGTGATAGTGAATCTGTACATAAAGGGAGATGAAACTAACTTACCTTAAAGTACCTTGTCGCCTGGAAACTTTATGTGCCGGTCCTTCAAGAGCCAAGTCAATATCAACAACATGCCCCTTGCCTGATCTTCCAATACTGATTTCTCTACTTCGCATTAGATACCTAACCATTCTTCCCCGAAGAACGGCTAATGTTTGGTTGTCTAAATTGCCGGGACATATTCCTGTTACGCTGTCAACTAACACGTTCCATCGACCAATCTGTAAAGAAATTACGTTATTGTTCAAGCTTAAATTTTACCCACTATATAAAATGTTTTAACAAGGATAACTTGAGCGAACTCAATAAAGTAGTTGACACGATACAGTCCCCTTTACAGTAAATTCAACTTCAAGTTACGGACAGAATCAACACAAGTCACCTCGTGATATTCGAGTCTACACGTGACGAACGCCTTGCTATTGGCCAAATTGTCGAACGATCGTAAGTCAGGCAGTTAGCCCTAACAGGTGCGGACTTCGTTTTTCCGCTCCGTCCTCTGTCGAATGCGAATTGGCCCAGTAATTTTTGTGCAAAGCTATATGTTGGTTTATTTATTTGTTAATCGTTAGCTCGTGTGTGGATAGTGCAAAGCATTTTTAAGAACATTTAATTACAGTCGATACAAACTTTTTCCCCACTTTAAAATAATTCCTGTAAGTATAATAAAGCATTTATAATAGCCGTAAGATGAGATATAATATCGACCTGCACTGATATGTTTAATGGATAAAAATTATTTAACATGTTAAAAATTATGAAAAACAAGAGGTGCCCGATATAATTTTGTCCTGATTAATTTAAACTCTTTGCGGCACGAGATTTTATAAATTTTCTACAATGGACCCTTGGGGCATAGAAAGATTCAATTGCACACGTAAAAAGTAAAATGACCTCACTTTTCAAGGAACAACTAATAACCATTCGCGTTTGGCCAATAACTATACCATGGGAATTTTACCAATTAAAGTTAACACTTAATAGGGACAGAGGGAATAAGTAATACAAACCACTTGCGTAGGTGTAACTTGATAAAAATAGATTAATAAGTGATTCATTTTGTGGACTACTGTACAACATGTAGCAAAAGTTTGGTGGTTTTGGTTTGGTGGTTTTGGTTTGGTGGTGGAAGACAAGGAAGAATTAACAGGCGAACAAGAATTTACAGACAAAGAACGATAGATGACGATTTTCAAGGTTCAAAATCATTAGTAAAAAATATCACATTTACCAAAGCGGTGTAGGTAAACCTTATATCGGATCCTCTACTATAAAAGTAAATTTGAAAATGCCCATTTTGTTATTTTAGTTGAGAAAAGTATAATAAATCCATTTATTTAATATGTCTCATACGGAGTCGGCAAATGAAAATGAGGAACTGTTAACGCTAAGTCCTCCTAGAAAAAGAGCTAAGAAAAATGACGTAGATATAAGAATCAAAAAAATAATGGTTAATACATACAAATGTGAATTACAAGATAATCCTACTTTAGCGTTCCAAACACTGGAAAAAAATGCTATAATTGTAATGGACAATGCCCCTTATCATTCCAGAAAATTGGAAAAAATTCCCATTATGGCTACAAAAAAGGCAGATATTCAAAATTGGCTTCACTCAAAAGACATTCCCTTTGAAGAAATCATGTTAAAGGTGCAACTTTTAGAAATCGTTAAACAACATAAAGGCGAATATAATAAGTACATAGTAGATGAACTGGTAAGAAGCACAAATAGAATAGTTTTAAGGTTGCCACCGTATCACTGCGAGTTCAATCCAATCGAGCTTGTATGGGCAGAAGTCAAGAATTATGTAGCATGGCATAACACAACATTTAAATTTGCTGACATTAAAAATTTATTTCAGCTGTGTCTGCTGTAACCATGGAAAAATGGAAAAACTGCGTCAAAAATGTAAAAGAAGAAGTGGAGCCAAAAATGTGGGAATTGGACAATTTAATTGAGGCACAAATTGAGCCTATCATTATCAACTTTAATGATGACAGCAGTACATCAGATTCTGAAAGTTAAGATAAATTACGGTAATTTTATAAACTTTTTTTGTATACTTTATTTTGTTGTTCATAACTCTCGACTTTGTAAATCATTTTTATATTTAAAAAATTGGTGTACTATAATCTGTACCTGTCAGACGTCTACAAATTATATAAGGTTTTGTATTGCAGCTTTAATTTACTAGTCCGGCCCTGAACAAACGCGTGTTTCCAGCGTGCATTTGTTTCCATCGTCCGTAGCTTAAAGTTGAATTTACTGTAGTTTTATTTAAAGAAACCCCTTCAGCGATGGCACGCTACCAATGCATAACGTCTGTATAATGTTACATCTAGTGTTTTGGTCCTTCGAGCCGGATGTAATCAGTGTTTTGGTTTTACTCAAAAGTCGTAAAATTAATTTAAGTAAAAGACATTTTTACACAAGAAGTGCTGCATATCCTCTTATGCCTGTCGATCCACCCACATTCCTAACTATCAATAAGAAAGAAGACGTCCCGAAGAGTTTTTCTTCCTCTTCAATCCTAGTATTGTCTTAAAAAATATTAAATTAGGCTACTACAATTAGAAGTTCCTTCTCATTTAAAATGTAAGATAAAATAAAAGAGTAACATTTACCCTAAGGGGTTGAACATTCAAGTGTAAAATTGCTAAGAGTCTCTGCTTAAAAACAAAATTGACTTATCATTCTGTTAAGTTGTTAAATTGTCATCTTTATTTATTGGTTGTCCAAACCTGTTAAGCCAGATTAACATTAATGTTCCCCATCAAGCTCTATGTTACCACAATGTTTTCAATATCACTTTTCACTAAACAAGCTATGGTATTCACAAACCATTGGATAGGTACATGGGGCTATTAAATGTTCACGATTTTGATATTTTCAATATAACTTCTATAAACTCAGTTAAAAAGATCTCTTGCTGACTACACTGACTTCTCCAATGCCTTTGACAGAGTAAAATTTGACATTTTGCTTGCTAAACTCCACAATTTAGGATATACTAAGGAGGCCATAAAATGGATATCAAGTTTTTTAAAGGATCGAAAACAAAGGGTGAAACTATTTAATTTCCTATCTGAATCATTTCAGGTTTTATCAGGTATCCACCAAGGAGACCACTGTTCACCATTACTATTTAATCTCTTTATAAATGATATTCCTGATAATCTTGAATCATTAGTTGTACTTTATGCAGATGACTTAAAGTTATATAGATGTTTAAAATCTATAGCTGACATACATATATTGCAAAAGGATATTGACAGGTTATGGGACTGGAATATACAGAATAATCTTACATTAAATATTGATAAATGCTTTTATACCAGTTTTTTAGGGGGAATAAATAATACAACTCAAACTATCTTATGAATACTGTTAACTTAAGATATAAAAATCAAGTTGGAGACCTGGGCATCACTTTTAATGAAACCATTAGTTTCAATGACCATATTTCACAGACTACTTGAAAGGTCTTAAACTTCTTGGATTTAAATTAAGAAACTGTAGTGAGTTCCAAATTATAACGAAAGTTGTGGATTGTTGTCTTGTACGCTCTCAACTAGAATATGGCACTATAGTTTGGTCTCCTATGTATGACCAGTATATCAATTCCATTGAAAAAGTTCAGAAGAAGTTTCTTAGGTATTGCAGTTACAAAATAGTAATTCCAGTTGCAAATATACAAAAAAAAAAGTAATTTTACATAGATTAAATCTAACAACACTTTAGAACAGATGAATTCAGTTTGATTCTGTATTTATTTATAAATTATTAAATAACTTAATTCAATTTCCAGAACTTTTAAGTAAAATAAGCTTCAATATTCCACAGCATAGACTAAGATCTTTGGAACTTTTTCATATAAATTTTCATGCTAATAAATTATGCCTGCAATAATCCATTTGATAGGACCTTAAGATTTTTAAATAGTCACTGTGATGTAGATCCTTTTAAAATAAGAGTTAATCAATTTAAAACCATGATTTATAGTAAACTCTAGAATTATTTCAAAGTATTGAATTTTTTAGTGTAGTTATAAGATAAATTAGATTAGAAAATATAATGTTATTATAATGCTGTAATGGAGTGATCCCATCTATTTAATAAATAAATAGAAAACAATAATATACTCACCTCATTTTCCAGTTGCCTAATTTCTTTCAAATTCCTTCTCTGTTGGAGTTTCATTTCCCTATCCAATCCCTCATCAGGAGGTTCAGTTAGATCAGAATCTTGCACAATTTCTTCTGCATCATTAAAAGTTACAATTGGTCGAGCTGAGGTAGGAAGAGGTCCCAATGTCTGATCTGGTAAGAGATTATACATCTTAAGACTCTGCCAGTGGCGGAACAAGGAGGCGGCAGTACGGCCAGTGTAAAAGATGGAAGGATGTTGAGAAAGGAGTTCTGCAAAAGTTTCTACAGTGGGAGGAGTAGTTGTATTCTGAAAATGTAAAATTAAAATAGAACTATTGGAAAAAAACAGTTATAAATTGTGTATTAAAATCTATAATTGATCATTTGTTGCAATTATACAGTAAATTTGGAAACACCCTTTCTTTATTTTGTTTAATTATTTATTTTGATCAAGACATAGTTAATTTAATTCCTGTGAATAGAAAATGTTGCTGTTATCATCTAAAAAGCTCTCTATTGGAGATATTAACATATTTTCCAAAAAATTTCGATTATGAAGTAGTTTAGGCTCTGGATAAAATTATATAGTTTACCCTGCAGAAAAATGGTAGCTACAAACTAAAGATAGATTCTTATCTGGGCAATAAAAAACTTTAAATAACATTAAATAGCAGACAAATAAGAAATAAAATATCTTTTTATATACTTACAGATTTGATAGTACTTAAAATTTTCTCCTCTTGTTGACTCCAAAGAGCTCTATCCTGTACAGCAGCAATCATATCAGGATGAAGATTCCTCATGGCAGAAACTGCTACTCTCGAGACTGCTTGATCATATAACAAAGCGTACCATCTTTGTTGTAATTCTTGTACAGTGAATTTACAGGAAAACTTTGTACCTAAGTGAACAGTGCGCAAATCATTGGTTTGTTGTACTCCAATAATCAAAGCCAAATCATCCACTGGCTTCCATCTTCCCAAGTCTTTAGCAGTGTACTGCCCTCCAAGTCTTCCACTTTTCTTTCCTCGTTTTGAAGAAGCTAATACATTTTTTGACACTTGTTTTCTTTTGTGATCTATGAAGATTTGAGAAGTAGATGGTTGAGGTGGAACAACGGGAGGCGTAGAAGGTGAAGCTACACCAAGTTCTAAATGAGCTGATTGAGTGCGAGATCTACCGCCCTGCAAAGGATTGAGTGCGTTAGAATAGTCCTAAGCAGACTGCAGACTTACCTTTATGTTAGAAATCCCGGGCATCCCAAGGCTGTATTCCACTAATTCATCATCGAACTTTTTTCGCTTAATGGAACGATTTGAACTAAAAAGTAAATTGTGACAGGAAACAAAGTTGACAAATTATTGTTAAGCCTACCTTCTACGTCTAGTGACATCGGCACTTTCTCCTAGATGACTATGAGAACTTAAAGTGTACTCATTGCTTTGCAATAAATCTGAATCATGTATTATATTCATTGTTACAATAAAAAATCATCAATGCCGAAAAAACAAACAAACAATGGGTACATTCCTTTCCTTCTTAATCTTTATTGACGTTTGCGACAAGCGACAAGTGGACAAGACAAATATCGTTGACATTTGACATGCTGTGCTAATTGTAATCCATAACCGGAGATACTTATTATTTAATATGACTATTTAAACAAATAATGATATATCAAATACAGATGGTAGAAATTATTAATTAATTTTTAAAACCTTAATTATTTTAATAAATTTTAAATGCCATAATACACTCATTGTAAATAAATAAATAAGTCTCGAAGTAAATATTTTCATCTACGAGTAATTTCTTGTTAAATAATGATTTACCAAAGTTGCTTATTTTTCTAAATGCAAAATATATTTGTTCAAAATCTAAAACTTAGTTTATATCGATTTAAAGTTAAATGGGAATGTGTCATAAAAAATAATTACTATATAAAGATACTTATACGACGCTGACTTTGATATTTTGGAAAAAATATAAATTACTTTATGTAATAAAATTATTTCTTCACATGTACATGGAATTTAAGACAAACTATGAAGTCTTTATTAAATAATTTTATTTATTTGTAGTGACTTTTACAATAATATGTCCAACGCCTATGGAAAATTTTCAAAGGTGTCAAAGTCACATAGTTCATTTGTCTTGTCACTTGTCATCAATCAGTTATGTCGTCGTTTATGAAAATGTGACAATGTACATGACGTAAAATCAAAAAATTAATTTATTTGGCTAGTGTTTATAGAATTTATTCTATACTATGTTTTAATTAAAAACTACAACTTAGTTAATTATATATAAAATATATTATCAACATCATGGCACGACACAGAGATATTAGAAATATGGACTATTCAGATGGTAACTCATTTTTACCATAAAGTTGTAGTATTCATTAATGTATTTATTTTTTAGATTATGACGGTTACGACGATGTTTATGGACATTCTATGGATGATGATTATTTTATATCCCCAAGCAATAAGCAGTTCATTTATAACAGAGACATGTCACAGAGAAGTTCTGAAGGGGACATTAAGGAAGAAGATGAACAGGAGGCTGAATTATCAGATGACGATAGAGCCAAATTAACTTCTTGTATTGCTCAGATTAATAAAACCCTGGAGTCTGTTAACATTTCTAGGAATGATTTAGTCAATATAATAATAAAATCAAAGTTTGATGTAGAGAAGTCTATAAACACAATCTTAGAAGACTCACAATATACAACAGCTACTGTTGAAAAAGGTGAATGATAATATTTATTTTTAAGTAGTTTTAGTTAACTGTTCAGTAGATTTATCAATATCAGTGGAATAATCAAAATAATGGTAGCGCTATTAATAGAATATCTATTAGTCTAATCTATATATTTGGTTTATAGTGTGCTCCAAAATTAATATTAAATCATCAAGTTACATTATTAGTTTGTTATATTAAAGAACTGTGGTATGGGTAATAGTTTATAATATGCAAGTGATTAATTATTTTGAAGTCTACTCTTATTTTAGGAAATTTAATCAGCAAAATTGGTTGATACAACATAATACAACTTATTTAGCTTTTATCACTTAATTTATTACAATGTGAAGTGGAGTTGTTGGTCATAATCATATATACAGGTCAGATAGGTTAGAAGATTAAATACTATATTTGTGTTATTTCTGTGAGGCAATATGAAACTGTAGTTGATTAGCTTGCCCTGTTAGATATGTAAAACTTTGTTTATTGTCAATAATGTGCAGACATTTTATTTCAATAAGAATGTTTTCGTGTTCTCATATAGTATCGTTTGATTTAGGGAGTCATATGCTTGTTTAAAATAGATAAATAGCAAATGTAATTCTAAGTTTTGTTCGTAGCTATTATTTTGTATTAATTTCAACATACTTATTTGATCAGTAGTTGTTCTTCCTGATCTAAAACCTCCCTGGTATTCTCCAATCACTTTGTTATTATATTTTATTAATCTTTTTCTAATAATTTTTGCAAGTATTTTATAGACTACTTCTAATAGTGCTATACCTCTACTCTACAGTTTTCGCACTCCGTTTTGTCTCTTTTTTTATAGATAGTACAAATAAGAGTACTATTCCATTGTTTCGGCATGTGTTCCTTTTACCAAATTATTAGTGTCAAGTGAAATATCCTTTCCTTTAATCTTTCGCCACCTTCCTTAAAAATCTGAGCTGGGATACCACTTTCTCCTGCACTTTTGTTCTCTTTTCTTTTTTCTGCAAATTCTTTTCGCTTCCCTTCTTCTTGCCACATAGTTTTCGATCTCATTTTGAATATTTTCTTTACCTCTTTGTAGTTTTGCTCTGTTTCTTCTTGCCAAAACATACCTACATTCTTCATTAAACCAGTCTTGCTGTCTTTTTATATGCTCTCTTCCTATACACTTTTCCGATGCTTCTGACATGGCTGTCTGCCACTCTTCATCTATATCTTGTTTGACTGGATTCTTTAGTTTTTTATTTATTTCTTCCTCTAGTCTATTTACATCCTGCTTGTGTTAAAGGCACTCTGATTGATAATTTAATCTATCTCTAACAGGTTTTGGTATTATTGGTAGTTATTATTGGTAAGAGTTAACACAAGTGCCAAACTTCTCTTACTTTAATTTAGTAAATATATATTTAATTTTTATTATTATGTCAGTTCTAATACTTTGATAGTATATATTGATGAGTGATATATTGATGGCCAAGACTACAGACACACTAAAACCTACTGCCACAAAGTACACAGATGCGTAAAATGTACAGGTAATACCAAACAAAAGATTGTCCTCGAAAATCATGTGATAACAAAGTAAAATGTGTCAGTTGTAATGGTGACCACCCAGGTAACTACAGAGGATGCCAAGTTCACATACAACTAGAAGCTATATCCTACACTAATGCCCGATTTCACCGACGATACCTAAATATTTAAGAATTACCTAAGCGGGCTTAAGTACTTCCTAACTCTAAAACGGATTTCACCATATGCTAAGAATTGCCATAACCGCTTAAGCATTACCTTATGGTAGGATACATTTTGCGATCTCCCTAAACAGTTTAGGTATTACTTATAGTTAAAAGTGAGGTTATGTTTTAACAGTTTTGATGGATGTACTTTTTGTATTATTTTATATTAATTAATTGTTGCTTTGGTACTATTTATAATATGGAAGCACTACAGTTTATCGAAAACCTAGATCGATTCGATTAATGATCTGATTCTGGAGAAGAAACAGAAAGAACACCCCGAGTTATCAAGAATCGACCAAATTATTTTGAAACTTTGGATGATGTGGATTTTTTTAGAAGGTTTCGAATGTCTCTCTAAACCAACAGTTTTATATGAGTTGGAACAAATAGAAAATGATATTCTACCTAACAAACTGGTATTTTCTTTCAAAAACCCATTCATGATTTCATTAAAAGTGTATTATTTAAAATATAAAATAAAAAACAATTTTAAAGATGTTTTATTTTAAATTATTTCAATAATGACAATAAAGCTGGTGGCACTTATCTGAAATTAGATAGACTCTCCACCTATTTAATATAAAATTTGCAGTCCTTTTCTTTTCCTCCATTTCACTAGACGTATATAAATAATTTAAAAAACTAAACAAGCCTTATTTACAAATAACTAACTACTAATTAAAATAACTGTAACATGACAAAACTGAATAAAACCAACTTGGAAAACAAACAATTTAATAACAAATAAAAAAGTAAGGTTGTGATTTCTTATTCTTCTTTTTATTTATCAATAATAGTTCAAACATACCCAAAGTAATACCTAAGAAAGAATTTCCTAGATAAGCAGTTCTTTTAGTTGTGAAACGCTAGTGTTCCTAAGTATTGACTTCGGAAGTTCTTTTCGATAAGAATTACTTTTGAAGGCAACTGTTTAGGTATCGTTGGTGAAATCGGGCATAAGAGAGAAAAGAATCATGCAACCACCTATTCAAACAAATAATTCTCAACAAATACAACCTGATTTAACCTATGCTCCAATAGTCAACAAAAATCAACCAAAATAAATACCTGACGCTGTTGATTTCTATATCACAAAAGGCATTGATACCAAAAAATGTAAAGGTGAATCATGCTTTGATTTATCATCAGACCACTCACCATTTATAATAACAATCTTCGAAAAAATCTTAAACAAAGTATATCAACCAACAAGTATAACACCAAGACTAACTGGTCCCAATTTAGAGAAAAACTAGACAGCCTGATCTCACTAAATCTGCCCTTGAAAAATGAACTCCCAACTAGAATCAGCTGTAGATAACCTAAAAAAAGCATACAAACTGCTGCATGGAATGCGACTTCCAGCTACAATCCATTTCCAAACAGCCATATTGTGTCTCCAACGATTAAACATAAAATTTCAGAAAAACAACAATTACATAAAAATTGGCAACAGTCAAGAGGCAAACACCTGGGCTAGGAACGACAATGAAAAAGTTGATGTTTTTGGAAAACAATTTCAAAAAGTATTCATGTCATACCCTTCTACAGTATCTACAGAGGAAGAAACAGAACTAACCAGATTCCTAACAGCACCGTTTTAAATGGATCTGCCCCACATGAAATTTACAGTCAACCAAGTAAAACAAACAATAAATGAAGTCAACATCAAAAAAGCCCCTGGATTTGACCTAATCTCTGGCAAGATTCTAAAAGAAATCTTGGATAATCCTGTGCCTAAACTACTTCCCTAGCTTTTGGAAATTGGCACAAATCATACTGATCCTTAAACCTGGAAGAAGACCGGAAAATGCATCCTCATACAGGCTTATAAGCCTTTTGCCTATGATTAGCAAAGTCTTTAAAAAAATATATGTAAAAAGATTAAAAACGATAATAGACGAACACAAAATAATTCCAGAACATCAATTCGGTTTCCGAGACAAACACGGAACAATAGAACAAGTGCATAAGCTAGTCAACCAAATAAACAAGGATTTTAACACCATAAGATACTGTTGTGCTGCTTTCCTTGACATATCTCAGGCTTTTGACAAGGTATGGCACATAGGACTACAAATAAAATTAAAGAAGCTCCTACCCTATCTTACCTTCCACCTCTTAAAATCCTACATAGAAAATAGACACTTTCTGGTGAATCACGGTACCAAGCACACTAAGATATATCCTATTCACTCAGGCATCCCACAAGGCAGCGTTGTCAGCCCAATTCTATATCTTTTATACACAGCGGACATTCCAACATCTAGTACAACTACTGTTGCAACATATGCAGATGACACTGCTATCCTGGCATCCCACACAGATCCATCAATAGTATCAAGAAATCTTCAATAAAACCTAAATAGAGATAATTGTCTAATTCCTTAATCCGAGGACGCTAAATATCTTGGCGTGCACTTGGATCGCCGTCTAACTTGGAAAAAACATATCTTTAACAAACGAAAACAGCTTGGACTTAAGTTGAGAAATATGTATTGGGTCATTGGACGCAATTCAAAACTATCTTTGGATAACAAAATTTTACTCTACAAGTCCATCCTCAAGCCCATATGGACTTAATGGATTCAGTTATGGGGCACTGCTAGCGTCTCCAATACAAACACCTTACAGAGATTTCAAATCAAGGTGCTGCGTGCCATAGTCAATGCGCCATACTATGTATCCAACGAGGTGATTCAACACGACATCCCCCTAGAATCTGTGAAAGAAGCCATACAACGTTTTAGTGCTAAATACTGTGAACAAGTGCTAGTGCATCCTAATGCGTTTGCTCGACAATTAAATGTGCGGAACGTCTTTGAAATGCCTAGACTAAAACGGCAATTGCCATCCGACTTGTCCAACTAAACATAATAAGTGTATTCAAACTAATACAATTTTAATTTTTAGAATTGTAAAGAAGTTACAGTTACCTGTAATGGGCAGATTGTTGTACTCAATGGAGTTAATAAAAAAAAGTATTGATGAATTACAATTATTGTTTCGATTATTCCACTGTTTAACTCGTAATACTGTTTAACTAAATATATTTCTTTGTTTTTTCCATGTTTCCTTGATGGATGTACCTCATTTTTTTCAAATTTTGTAAGGTAAGATTACAACCAACATACTAAAATAAATAAAAAAATACTGCCAACAAATGCAATTTTTGCCCCACACTCTAGCGAAAACAAAAAACAATTTACGATTCCTAATATTTTTAACAATCTACAAAATATGAATAACTCAAACGTGGATAAACCAAAATTT